GAACCCAGCCTACAAGATGAATGACACCAAAAAAGATGTAGATCTCAGACAGGGAAAGTTGCACGGCATATAATGAGTGGCACAAGTCTGCATACCTACTTAGAGGACTTCTGACAGCACTGCTCAGTTTGGCAGTGGCAACTGTAAAAGCAATAGAGGTAACCCAGGTGGCCTTTCTGGCTTCAGCACTGGGTCAAGCTTGCCAGCAACGCATCAGAGCTCACAGAAAAATGATGTTTGTTCCCTAGAATTCCTTTTTAGTAAATGAAAAGGGGTCCTTGTTTTTCCTTTTTTCATTATTTTCCTCCTTATTCTGTCAATGATTTTAGAATTCACTTATTTTTAATGTTTGTTCTTTAAACACACCCATTAATGATGCATCTAAGACAGACAGAAAATTATAATGGTTTGTTGCTAATCCTTGTCTCTAGTAATGAAAGTGTGTTATTTATGACTCCCCAGGAAAATATTTTAACTTTCATTACCTCAGGAATAAAATGTAAGCTTGTTAGAAGAGGTCATGTTTTATGGTTGAAAGGCTCAACTCAAATATGTTTACTTAAGCTGTTTACAATTACACTTTCTGCATTAATAGGCTCGCCACAAATAATTTCTCTCATCTAGCTGGCTCACGGTCAAGTACAGTAATTAATTCATGTATAGGTACCTAAAACTGTAATACATAAACTGGACAGGTTCCAAAGGACAGGTAAGCTTGAAGCCTTAAAACGTAGACATCAAAGTGTTACATGTATATACATTTTTTGTAAGAAAAAGAACAATCACCGTGAACTTACATATTTATATCAGACACTTTAGGGACTGGTTGACACACTTGGCCTTATTTAGTAAGACTCCTTGTCCGTAAGCACAGTAACCAGTAAAAAAACAAATCAGAATTTAGGCCCATATACACTTGTGCGATCTTTTGCAATGTGTTATTGCATGTAATGTTGTGTGTTCACATACAGTATGTTGCATTTAGGCAGACCACTCATTTGAATGGGCTGCCATCATTGAGGTGCCATTCAAAATGAATGGCACTGCACCTCTGTACATGGGTTGCCATGTGTTATGGTAACATGAGGTAAAGCATATATTTGTGAAGCCTGCCTCTCTGCTGAAGTCAGAATTAATGGATTCTAATTGAATGCTATGAGGTTACTGGACTTGAAGTGCGCTTGTGCCCAGACAGTGGACAATAAACTATTTACATGTTCTTAAAGAAGAACTCCAGGCATATGATATTTAACCTTTGCAGTGGGACTCCCCCTGCACTTCAAGTGTCAAGTGCTTGTTTTGTCTTGGGAGCTAAAATAACAAATATATACTCACCCGAACATTGGATCAGTCTGGCTGCTAGATTTGTCCCGGCAGCCTCGCTTCCCCTCTTCTCCAGTGGTGTCATATCCCTTGGCATCCTCACATCTAATGCACTGTATTAACGTGATGACGCAGAGGTTCTTAGACTGCCGAAGCGGAGGGGGAGAAACACTGCAGGGACAAGTCTTGCAGCCAACCAGATCCAATGTTCAGGTATATATTTGTTATTTTAGCTCCCTAGACAAAACAAGCACTTAACACTTGCAGTGCAGGGGGAAGCCCCACTACAAGGATTAACATTTTGTATGCTGGATAGATTCACATCTAGGCAACACCTATTTTGTGCAGGGTTTTTCTTGCGGTTTTTGCGTGCTAGAGACGTTTTACGTACGTATATTAAGTTGCATGTTTTTGTGAGCAGATTTTGGCACATTCATGTGAATGGGCAAAACGCATGCAAAAGCACACAAAAAAATAGCAATGCACATTTTTCAAGCATTTTCTATTAAGTCTATGGGACCAAACACACTGAAATCTGTCCCAAAGTAGCTCATGTACTATTTCCAATGACAGGCGTATTTCTGCTTTTGACAAAACTCACAAGTGTGAACGGGGGCCATGGAAATGAATGGGATTCCTTGGGTGGAGCGTTTTGTCTCACTGAATCAGCTGCGACAATACGGCTAGGTGGGAATGGAGCCTTAATGTAAAGTTCTTTGTTCTGAAACATCCTCAAAGATCACAAAAATTACTCTCAAGTCAGGTTTCAGTCTGTTTTTAACAGCTTAGAAACATCTTCTGTTTTTTTTTTATTTCACTTCCTGTGTTGTGAACTTTGAAAACTAATTTCTCCACAGTGCTTATAGATACAGAGATGAATGGGAGCTTGTTTAAAAGTTATTTTACTGCTTGCACAGAATATGTAAATACTTTAGTGTGCATGATCTGGGCCAAGGTTCACTTTAAGAATAAAAAACATTTTCAATAAAGCCAAATTTGTTTATAGTGTAACCAAGTAAGCGCACACCTCATTCTACTACTACATTCACAGGCTCTTGCCAAATATAGTCTTAAAGTAGTATTAAAGGCTGGGTGTTTTCTGCCTTAATGCTTTCTCTGCATCAAGGCAAAAGACACCCAGCACTTTTCAAACACCCCCGACGCCCCCTACACATACCTGCAGCCACTCATCTCCTCCACTGCTACTGGGAAGATACACAGGTTTCCCCCAAAGTTCCTGTTAGGGGGTAGGGTACTGAGAGCAAAGGAGCCGTAGGCTCCTTCTGCTGTCCGTCAAGTTATGACTTCAAGGGTGGGTGCTTGGCCAGCCGCATGCTGTGTGTGTCTATGGACGCACAAGCTAGGTGCGGGCATGTTCGTGCACATACGGGTGCCTCCGGAGCAGTTGGCTAGCTAATGGAGGCACCTGTACACTTGAAAATGGGAAATAAAGGATAAAATAACTTTTTTAAAGTTAAAATTAAGTTTAAAAAAACAAAAGCGAAGGTTTAATGTTTCTTTAAGGTTATTGGAAATTATGCAACGATAAAAAAGTGCTATATGACTAGAGACATATGATGCTGTAACTGCTAGATTATTTACTCGTTTGTGTCACCTGAAGTTAGAAGCAATCAGTTATGGAACGGTATAATTTCAGCAGTGTGTTAATTATGCACTCTGACTGTGCTATTAATATGTATATCAACACATGCACTTGATTGGCTTAACTATTTATATAAGGAGCCTGAGCCAGCAAGTTAGTTGGGTGCACTCTTACTGTCTTTGTTACTGACCTTAGCTTTGTCCCTGACCTGCAATTATACTCCACTTGCTCTGACATCAGTTTGATCCTGTCTCTGTCCCCTGCCTCTCATTATGGTTGCGATGTGCTGGCTCCACTCACTCTTCTGATATGACCTCTGGTCTTCCTTGTGACTTCTCACTTCAAGTACCAGTGCTGCCTGTCTTTTAATGGTATTGTCCAGTAGGCTCTTTGTTCAGGTGATAGAATCCAGTGCCTATGTTCTAAACATCTAAGTGGCAGTAGGAGCATAACACCTTTGGGAGACAGAAGAGGCAGCTGCTATAGGCAACGCACAACATAGAGTGACTATAGTAAATAAAGTGTAGCACAATTATGTAGACAAAATGATCAAATCAAATTTCATACTACTAGCTATGCCCTGGCCTAGATAATTGAGAACCCTATACAGGCATATGTTATATAACAGTTTTTGTGAGTTGTGAAACCCTTATTCGGTATGTTTGTTTTTTGTCTTTTAGGCTGCATGCATACTTAAAGCTACCTATATGCCCATTAATGAGTTCGCCATGGTTAACACGCTTTTTTACAGGCTCATTAAACAAAACATTCTCTTTTTATTGATCACCTTCTTTATAAAATGATATAGTATTTGTATGAAAGTGAATGCCTTCAGTTGCCGTAGCTTACAAAGTGAAGGTTTACATCTTCTGGTAGACTGCCCTGGTGGCAGTATGCCAATTTTGCATCCACCAGCTTATCATTCTAGTGTGTACAGAACCACTAGAGGATAGAAGTTAATGGTAACATTACCAGCTCTCACAGGCTCAGCTTTCTAGGTTTCTTTTGTCTTTATTTTTTTTCTTCAACGCCCTAAATTCTCCCTATGGGAAGAATACGGTTTTATCTTTTGATTATATGTTTTATTAATGGAATTTATATAAAGATTAATATCACAGAATTAAACCCTGATATTAGCATAACAGTGATGTTACTTAATATGGATCTTTTCTTCGACACTTATTTTGGAAATGGCACTAATCCTTTTTTTGATCTTCATCTTATGTAAAACCAATCTTGACATTGCTGATATTTCCTATGCTGTATTTCATGAGTCTTGATTGCAAATTTTGGATCAGTGCATCCTTCCCTCCTCTGAAAGTTAAGAAGTGTGGGAAATGGGTAAATATTGTCCATGTGCACTACCAGTAAATGTGATAAATGATCCGGCTTTCTGCATTTAAGAGACTCTGTCATAGGGGAAAAACAAAATTGCTGCAGGTTAAACTACTGCAAATCGCCGAAACTTCTTGGTAGTGTCAGAACATGCAGCTAAGTCTCGTTCCAACACATTTCTATTGGTCTATCTTTATGATCACCACCCTCACTGGCCAGTAGAAATGTGCAGGAAGTGTCAAAGCTTTGTGAGAAGAATCCAGCATTTGGCTGTGGCAGTAGAGTCTGGGAGGCTGCTGAAGTGCCTGCACTTTATACTTGCACATTTTTTTTTAATTTCCCATGACAGAATCTTTAATACAGGGTTGCTCTTTTTTGTATTAAAAAGTGACTAGTAGCAGTAAACAATATGTATTATAGTATATATAGGGTTATTCTCGTGCCTTCTCAATTACTCTACCCCTAGAACATACTGTGGAAATCTGCAGAGGAACTTCCATATATCTCTACTGCAGTACAGTAAATTGTTTCCAGTGCTCCTGTTTGAACATTGGGTTTTGTTGATGTCCCAGCCTTACCCGTTTTTTTTAATTTATTGTCTTAATCACACAATTGACACATTTCCTGATAACACCGGTACACAAGTGTCCTGCATTACTTGCGTGAAGATGTATATAAATTAGGCAGTACTCCCTGAATGGTGAAAATGATGTATCTCGTATGTTTGTCACTCTTTTAGGAGCATCTTTCTTTGAAGAAATATATAGTGGATATTCTAGTAGAAACTGCACCTCCTGCCGAACCTGTAAAGGAGGTCGAAGAGAAGCAAAAAAATAAAAAGAAAGCTAAAAAGTTGAAGACCCGCATGAATTCCAGGTATGCTTCCTTTATTGTATCTAAACCTACCCTTGTCATAAAAGAATTTGGTTTCATTTTTATATGGTTACCTGGTAAGAGAAGAACTGTAGGCATATTAGAAGACCTTGAAGCAGCACAGGGAGACCCAGCAGAAGAGGAAGCCCCAACATGTCTGGCTTAATTTCTTCTATTTCAGTAGCACCCAACAACTAATATAGGATAAATATATAAATGATTATTATTCGAGAATTATTAATCTTCTGTCAGCAGGATTCTGTCTCATACTTAGTAAGAAATAGTTTATGTCTAAGGAGACAGTTTATAGCTCAAGTCTATCACCAGTATGAAACAAATTCATATTTACAATTTAATATTAGAATTTCCTTTAGTTTATCATTTTTTTTTTTTTATGTAGCAAAATCCATTAATGTTTTGAGAAGTTTTACGCACATCTAAGACACACAAGGTCACCTGTAAATCTAATTATTGATTGTTATTTGGAAGAATGCCAATAGAGAAAATAGTATATTTTGACCAATTACACCGTTTAATTGGCTCAAAATTGTTTTCATTAACAATCTTCAGAGTAGCTTGCAGGAAGGGATTTAGATCAGCTAAAAATGAGAAAAAATGCCCACTTAGAGGCTAACTTTTTCCTCTGTGCTTTCATCCCCTGGATTTGAGGGTATGTTCTAATACAGATCGCAAGGGATCTCTTAGCTAGGTCACCGTTACCTCAGTGCTGCAAACAAGTGGAAACAACTGGAGAGAAAGCCATTGGTGTATATTTGTACTTGAGGTCCAGAATAGTGAATAATCAAAATCAAATCTGGGAATGGCAGTATGCAAATAAAGCCACTCAAAAACCTTTTTTGGCATCTGATGATATTGTGATTTTGTTTCCTGGATTTCTTGCTGTCTTTGGTGTTTTCAAAGATTTAAGTTATGGTAACAGCAATATATATGTGCTAGGTACTAAGACATTCACATATATTGTGAGTGTATTTGAGAAGGGGTGAGGTACCGGAGTATCTGGGGTTTTGGTGCTGAAGAATTGTGGAGTAAATAGGTACTAAGACCGTTTAAGATGAGGCTTGGGACAGTCTGACAAACCTTTGGCAGTATCCTCATTGAGTTTCAAAAGTAAAACTAAAAGAACCATCATTAATTGACTGTGGAAGGACACCCTCATCACATGCAAATGCACAAAACATACTGCGTTGCATAGGCAGCACCAGTTTATCCCACCTCGTAATTGAAAATGGTTTAACCCTTTTGCTGCCAAGCCCTATGGAACGCTTGTAACCTCAGCTGGCCACACCATATTTGCAAATTTTCCCCATTGTTTTCATTTTCTACACTTGCATAGCTAGCATGTGTAAAAGACCCCTCCAAACCATATATTTTCTGGAAATACAGGCCCGGTAGAATAAAAAGTGTGCTGCTAATCTTATAGGTCCTACGATAATTGCGCAAATGGCTGTCAAATCAATATTAAACCAATAAAAATACACAAATTGATAAACGCACACTAAAATCAGTATCAGTGCACACAAAAATATTTATACAGAGTGCTTCCACCCATTGAGAAACTCATGAATGAACAGGAAGTGATGTAAAGCTTTTCCTGTTTATTCATAACTGGGACACGTAGTACTATGTGTCCCCAGTTGTTTATAAACACTGGAGTGATCAGGTGATCACTCCAGTGTTTGCTCTGCATACAAAGGATTGGTAAATATCATAGATATTTACTGATCCTCCGATGTGTCACGCACACAGCCGCTGTCATCCTGAAACTGACAGGATGACAGTGGCTCCGCTCTCCTCCCCGCTCTCCGCTCACTGCTTTCTCTCTCCTTCCGCTAGGCCATCCTTATCAGCGGCTCCTTCCCCCTCCCCGCCAGCCATTTCTGCTCAGATCCCTGCTGCCTCAGCCCATACAGGTGGGGGAGGGCAGCGGGGATCCAAGGAAAAGCATGGAGCGGCTCTAGGCAGGGAGGAGAAGCTGTCAGATTGCTGCAGGGGGGCTGCCCGAAATTTTTGTTATTAGCTCTCAAGCAGCTGATGACAGCTATTATTTTACAGGGGACCATCGGGGGAACCATTCTGATGTAAGTTCATGGTCGCTAAAGTTACCATGAGCTTATAGCAGGAGGGAGGAAACCACTGATGTAAGGCTTACTGAGCTGGCCAGCTGGAAACAGTTGTGTTCCGCCGTAAGCCTTACGTCGGTGGCAGCAGACGGATTCAAAAACCTTAGTCTCAGAATTATTATCCATGTAAACAAATAGAGGACACAGCATTGCTTGTTCTAAATGCTTGCGTCTTTCAATAACTCTTTTCATCCTGGAAGAAAACAAGATCATATAGGGTATGAGAAACATTGTCAAACTGGTAAATTAGTGACAAAACACTAATTTCGGAGTGAAAACTTTCCTGCTTTAATAATCACCCACAAGTGAGGAGCAGTCACGTGACCTCCACATGATCAACTACAAATAAACAGATGCAGCTTGCATTCAAAGAGGAGGGTTAAAAGGTGGGCTGTCTGGTATTGTCATCTTTAGACATGACACCAGCCAGTAGAACATGCAGTGTAGTTTAAGGCTGTGGACCAATATTGCATACTTTAGTGTTACAATGCTGCTTATAACAGTAAGCAGGATCATTAGTAATAGGAGTGACATATTCTTGAAATGTTGAGAGAAGCCTGCTTGGCAATGGTAATGTTGGCTATGCAAACATAGTCCAATGAGGAAATTAAAAAGGAGAATAACGGAGTAATCAACAATTGTCCTCCAGTTGTTGCAATTAAAGTGAACATTTGCAAGTACAATGTTTTTTTCCATTTGTTAGATTCCAACCAGTTGTCAACCTCTTCTAGTATATGAAAAGAAAATAAAGTGACTTTCAGTTTGACAGGATAAAGTATGCCTGTTGTATGTTCAACACCTTCAGCTTTGGTTTCGCCAATTGAAATGTAATCGTTAGTGTTGTAACTCAAGCACGTTTAGTTATGTTCTTATAGGCCAACATGCTCTTGCAGCTTTCAAAGCAACTTCACAGTTTTTGAGAATCTTCACAATAAAAATGCAGGATGGTCTGTCTGGAGAAGTAGAGTGGGGTGCGGTGAAGTGTGGGTCTCTCATTTACAACCCCAATTCCAAAATAGTTGGGACGATGTGTAAAGTCTACATAAAAACAGAATGCAATGATTTGCAGATCTCATAAACTCACATTTTTTTCACAATAGAAAATAGAAAACATATAAAATGTTTAAACTGAGAAAATTTACCACTGTAAGAAAAAAATAAGGTCATTTTGAAATTGATGGCAGTAACATGTCTCAAAAAAGTTGGTTCAGGGCCATGTTTACCACGGTGTCCCTCGTCTTTTAACAACACTCTGTAAACGTCTGGGAACTGAGGAGAGCAGTTGCTGGAGTTTTGGGAATTGTCCCATTCTTGCCTGATATAGGATTCTAACTGCTCAATAGTCCTGGGTCTCCTTTGTAATTTTTTTTCGTTTTAAGATGTGCCAAATATTTTCAATTATTGAAAGGTCTGGACTATAAGCAGGCCAGTTATGCACCCGGACTCTGCTACTATGAAACCATGCTGTTGTCATAGATGCAGTATGCGGTTTAGCATTGTCCTGCTGATATATGCAAGGCCTTCCCTGAAAGATGTAGTCTGGATGGGAGCATATGCTGCTCTAAAACCTGGATATATCTTTCAGCATTGATGGTTCCTTTCCATATGTGCAAGCTGCCCATTCCATACGCACTAATGCACCCCCATAATATGAGAGATGCAGGCTTTTCAACTGAGTGCTGAGAACAAGCCGGATAGTCTGGAGGACCTGTGGCCCATGGTTGCCAAAAAGAATCTCAAATTTTGATTTATCTGGCCACAGAACAGTTTTCCACTTTGGAAGTTTTCCACGCCAAGGACGTACGGCATACGGAGGAACAAAAGTGTTCCCGGCTGGCCAGGTCCGTCTGCCGTACGGACCTGGCAATTACAGTTCTGCTATAAGCTCATGGTCGCTATAGCGACCATGAGCTTATACTAGAACTGTTCCCCGGACTGTCCCCTTCAAATTAATAGTTGTCATCAGCGGCTCACAAGCCGCTGATCACTGCTATTAGCAAAAATACTGGGCACTCATTGCCATGCGTTGTGATACCTTGTGTTGCAATTAAATATACGCCTGTATCATTTTATCCCAACACAAACACCAACACAGCGTAAAAACTATTTTTAACATAAGTCGCTTATTTACAGTTTTGCGTACCTTCATTTAGTTTACCTTTTCGCAAAAAGGCGCAATTTCAAATTTGCTAATATTTGTTATTTATTAACTTAATACAGTTTTATCTTTTAGATTTAGTCAGAAATGTTTTGGTTTTTTTTGTGCGCTGATACTGATTTTAGTGTGTTTTATCAATTGAATTGTGTATTTTTATCGGTTTAATATTAATTTGAGAAACATTTGCGCAATTATCGCAGGGCCTACAAATTTAGTATCACCATCTTTTTATTCTACCGGGCCTGCACTTTCAGAAAATATATGGTTTGGGGGGTCTTTTACAAACGCTAGCAACCCAGCAGTTGAAAATCAAATCAATGGGAAAAATGGCATGTCCAGCTGATTAGAAAAATGTTCCGGAGGGCTTGGCAGCGAAAGGGTTAAATGAGCTTTGGTCCTTAGAAAAAAAGAATTGGAATTGGGTTGTACATAGATTTCAGAAAAAGCCTCTCTTCCAAAGTAGCAGACTAGTAGAGACTCCAGGAAGGACTCCTGGAGGATTCTGTCCCTTTTTGGGTAAGCCAGTGAGACAGATGCTTGACTGGTGGAGGCAGTTCTTTTATTTTCTGATTACTTTTGCTGTTTCATCTGTCAGAGAGGTCTCAAGATGAGAATGACAGAATGTCTTTCAATACACTGATACAGTTGTCTATTGCCTATATCAATATCCTCAGGGCTAGTAACAGAGAGAGCTGATCTAAACC